GTTACTCTCTCAGTTGGCCTCAGAGCGTCACCTTGAAACAAATCAGAGGCGGTGACGTCATGTGGAGCAGTATTCGCTGCTGTGCCTGCTCGCCAAAAGGCCTTTAGCTGGATTACACTTCAGGTTTGGCAATGAAGTGGTTTCTGTGACGCCAGAAATTTAATTTTGCTGTCTAACCTTTCTCCAGCCATTCAACTTGATTAAGACTCACATGGTTCCTGTTTCTTTCTATTCAGTATAATAAAGCTTTTTATTACCCACGACAATTAACTTTGCAAACTTTCAGGACATTTTTTGTGGGTGGGTACGCTAAACTCAATTATGCTCAGTATTAATTTTATCTCTTTGTAAGTTTATTGGTGCGGTCCTCCAGAACAGTCCCAGTTTCTCATGTGGCCCCCTGGGAAAATTAATTGCCCACCTCTGGTCTAAAGCAACCCACAGTGCTGTAGTGAAAATCTTTTGAGACTGGGTTCACTCATGCAGTAAGGACCAAGGGGCACCTTTAAGAGTTCACATAACAAAGAAGCCTCAATTGTATGAATGTAATGACTCAGCTTCTGTGTGGAGGCATCGAGGACTATCGGTGCTCCTCTTTTAAGTGAACTGTGCTTGGTCCCTCTGGGAAATGATCTTTGTAACCCCTCCAATGAAACAAAATGTTCTACAGCTGCCATAAATAACAATTTAGTGGCGTCATTATAAGATGATAAAGGTATTAATGTCATGCTTTTAAATTAGGGAATACAATACTGCCTGTGTTTTGGAAGGTTTTCTTGTATATAAGCCTTCTTCACACATGATCTCAGATCATTTTGAGAGAATAAGTTAGACATTTTTTGTATGGTCGCAACACACAAAGCAGGAAATAATCTGATTCAGATGACTTTACAATGCTGGGTGTGGTTTAGATACAGGTGCTCCCTGGGTAGAGTGTGCATCCAACCACTGGCGGGTAACACACTATGCTGTTACGTGTGCTATCCAACATTACAAAGACTTTGTGTTCAGTATCTGGCAGTGTAAAGACCAGCTAACATCCACTATGACTTTTTTTGTGCATTTGCATCCGCACACTCAGCTGAAAAAAACGTTCTTGTAAAGAGCTGCAGTGGAAGTGAAGCGCAGCTGTAGATGTGGTTAAGAGCTCAAAATAATAAAATTATTTTTGACACTTACGTTGAAAACTTTGAAAAACTGAAAAATATGAAAATAAGTCCTTCTTAATTTTTATTCAGTGTACGTTTCCTGGGGGCAGAATTGGAAGTAACACATAAACTTCAAACGGGACATTAGAATAATTTCATGTTGGTATCTTTTGTCTTTTTTTTTGCCTGTCCCGTTTGGATCTTTAGCCATCAGAACTGTTGTCTGAAGGCCAAGAAAGATGCCAAGTGGATTTACTTTACCAACTGGATCATCATGGTTTTGCCATATTGGTCCATTTGATTGACCTTTATTATAATCATGTATTTATTTGATTGGATTTTCCGGTTGTTACAGACGGGACGGACATGACTGGGGGATAGGACAGGGAGAGAGAATGAAAGAAAGAAAGGGAGAGAAAGAAAAATAGAGGGGAGACGAGATGGTGAGAAAGGGGGGAAGAGAGAAAAAAAGAAAGAAACACAAACAAAACACTTGGATCACCTGTATGGCGATAAGAAAAAACAGACGAGAAAACAAACAAAACAGAGCAACATAATAAATACAAAACCATCACAATAAACTAGCTAACAGTAGATAAACGTAGATACTAAATATTACATGTTATTGTGCAGCACGCATGATCGACAGCACACAGTGTGCTTTGAGGTAGCAGCCAAGAAAGGTGTAGTTTGTACACGTGTGTGCACACCTGTGTGGATTTGCACACTTGTATTCAAAAGGTTTCTCCATGTAATGATCTGCTAGGGAGTGTGGGGAGCCATAGCCCCGTCCCCCAGGGCATGAAGCAGGTATGGAGGAGATCCAGGCCCCAGACATCCAGAGGCCCCAGAATACGAGGACCTGAGGACGACCACCAGGAGGGCAACCGTGCCACCCTCCTAAGAGCTGAGGATGTCTCTTCTGTGATTACTTTAAATCAGTGGTGAGATGATCATTTGTTTTATCAAACTCAAATCAACTCACTCGCACAAAATTAGTTTAATTTACTGCAATCTCAAGTCGGGTGTCTCAGTACACACACATCCAAAGAACAAACAAACAAAACAACACACTGTTTGCACAGCGGTGCCATCAGTGGCACCATACTCACTAACTGATACAGACGCTAACTGAAGCCGACTGAAGCTGGGTTTGTGCAGCTGAGCTGTTGCTGCAGCTTTCCTGACTCGCATTCAGTGCCAGTATGTCTCCTATTGAACATGTCTGGGATACACTGGGTCAGCATGTTCATCAGACGCAGCCACAACCAATCAACACAGCACAGCTGCCGCCTGCACTCACCCAGAAATGAGTTTTCTTCTGAAGATCTGGGACACTATTGTGTCCTTCTTCCTGGATAAATAAAGCTAAATCATTTTTAATACATTGTTTATATAAAACAGTTAAGACATAATTTAGTTGATTTTCTTTTTTATTTAAATGTTGAAAAAAACTTGGTGGCAACACCCAAGTTTTCGATATTGTTTTGTAAAAATCCCAAAGTTCCATGTAAAAGACCTGAGCACATGACACCAGCAGGGACTACTTTCCTCTTTTTTTATGATCTAATAACTGATATGAAAGGAAAGCCAACATTAGAATATAGAATTTTCTTATTTTTGGTTATTTTTAACCAGAGGCTGAAATAAAATCATCTCAATTTCAACCTCTCTCTGATCGAAACTGTTTAAAGCTGTTTCGGGTAGATCTCCTCATGAAACAAAACACTTTTGGAATTAAAGGCTGAAATAGGATTATTATATATTTGGTTTATTGTTTACAGTTTATGTAGGTTTTAAAAATCTATCAGTTTTTCTTTAAGTCTCAGCATCTTGCCAAAAATATTAACCTGTGTTTTGTTGCTTTTAGGCCTTCATCTGTATGTAGGCTGTGTCAGCTGAGCGAGCGTCACTGCAGGCAAACAAAGCTGAAATTCTTTTCGGACGTCTGCTGATGGTGCAGGCCCGGGCAGACGGTTGCTCGTCTGTAGCTCGCATTGTTGTACCGCCATGCAATATGAGTCATCGACCACAACAGAGCTCCTCATGGACGCTCCAGAGCTGCCAACACCCACCATCAACGGCTGTCCACTGGGTTATAAAAGCCCTCCTACGTAGAAATAGTCCATGCTGGTAAATAAAAAGCACTTTTCAAAATGTTTTTCTTTTATGGGTAAGGTTCTATTCAGTAAAGTATTATGTAACATCCATTAGAGAAACTACTGCTAATTAAAATTTTTATTAGAAGAGCACAACAGCTCGGTCCAAGGAAAATGAAATATTTTTAAAGCACTTTCCTTAAACCTGCATGTATTTGCTTTGGTGTGATCCCATAATGTGGTGATTCTAGAAATAATTAACAGTAGTTTAGTGTTTCTGGCTTGAGAAAAACAGATTTATTAAGCCCAAGTTTTTAATATATTATGATTTGCTTAATATGTATTGGTTTTGGTAAATTCTTCTTAAGAATTTTTTTTCTCTATTTAACTTCAGTGTTGGTGATGTTTTCCCACAGACTGTACACTAAAATTATTTTGCGTACTTACCAACCAACAGCATCAGGATTATGGATGAACCTCAGGCCAACCCAAGCCAATATGCCCCTTAGGTGAATTCTACTGATATACTTTAATTTACAAACATTCTTACAATTAGGTAATGTAAATCTTAACCACCCATATTGCCATTAAGCTATTGCAGTATAGCATCAGTCTAATTATTCCTGTCACAGTAACTAGTGTTCTGCAGAAATCGTGGTACCCAGCATTACTAAGGACACTGAAACCATGAAGAGCTTTTGCGTCTAGTTTTTAAACATAACCTTATTTGAAAACTGCAAAACAAATGGATATGTGTTAAGGATAATATCTGCTCAAAGTTAACTGTCCCAATGATGATCAGTTCATTGATCTGAACAGCAAAGGTACCTGAGCCAAAGGCCATCGTCAAATGACTCTGTGGCGGGGGCGTGGTTTGCTGGCCTGCTGCAGAGGAAGGGTGACACAGTGAGCTCTCTGGGCGGCACGGAGGCGGGGAGGCAACAGGTGTACGGGACTGTGTTAATGTCTTTTTGTGTGCCCACAGTGAGCTGGAGCAGATGATGCTGGCAGAGAGACGGAGTGGCTGCGTTCGAGTCGGGTGCCAAAAAAACACAGATTATTTTCAAACTAAAAAGACACTAAGCATAACCCGTGTGTGTGTGGGTCCTGTGTCACAGACTCCCATCAAAATTACAGTAGTTGCCTATCTGTCTTCAGTGGTCTGCTGCCAACCCTGCCAACCAACTACAGCTTCTTTCCTCACCACCACTAGCTTTTTTCTCTGCTTTAAGAACTGGTTTGAGAATGTGATAACTGTAACCCACATAATATCCCTTAGGGATTAATAAAGCATGCTGATTCTGATTCTGATAAGATTGCTTAAAAATCCCTTTTTTCACCTAACAAGTGCAACAATCTGTGTGGAAAGTGTTGTCAATCCTTTATTGTTATTAGGGAGGCTTGCTTACACATAAAGTAAGTACTTCAAAACTGATCATGTATAAATCATTGGATGAACAAGTTTAACATCCTGAGTAAGTCACCGAAACTGGTAACCAATAGAAAACCCCTATCCTTTAAACAGATTTAAACTTATTTTCATTTATTGTCTATTATTATTTTGTCATAGTTTTACATTCTTAACCGTGTAGCTTTACTTATCTATGCATGTATGTATTTTTCTATGTATTTATGCATTAAAAAAATTACAAAGGAAAAAAAAATCAAACCAACATTCGGTAGCCATCTTTGGTGTTTTACTGCCCCCTGCTGGGAAACCCCGTGCACATGCTAAACCTACGTCACATCCGCACAGAGTCTCCAGTTGAATTCAGTGGACGAACATGGCGGTGCGTTTGATTAATCTGCTACCATCCAACCTGAAATGTGAAGTGTTTCAGCTTTCACACACCAAGTTATGACTTTGAAGCGGGTAGGTTACGTTACAATTTGCTTATTTTTACATTAGTCGCGTTTTAAAGTTTTACACGCCGCGTTTCTTTTTCGTTTCTTCTAACTGGCTGTCTCACACACATGGCAGACTGAGTTTAACAACAGCCGGTGTTTCTTACTTTGGGCCCACAGGCTGAAAACATTTTACGGTGTTGTGAAAATCCCGCAGACCTTTCCAGCGAGGCTCAGCCTGCGGTGGCTCTGTCCTTTCCTGTTGTGTCTGCTAGATAAATGTGAGGCTGTTTGAGGCCCTGCTGTGACCCATCATGGCAGGGTTATAGGTAAACCTCAGACAAAGTAAAACAGATTTTAAAGTAAGTGGTTTTAGCCATTTTGGTTTTCAGTGTATCAAAAAGTTGTCTCTGTACATTTGTGTTTATTCAGGTGTCTGGATTCTGCATTAAACCACAGGGGCAGTGCACGAAGGCTGGCCTCTGCCGTAGATGGCCTATGGGTCACGAGACGTGAACATGGTAATTTCTTCATCATAATCTTCCCTCGTGTAGTTGGTTTGCAGACCTTTCCAGCGAGGCTCAGCCTGCAGCGGCTCTGTCCTTTCCTGTTGTGTCTGCTAGAGAAATGTGAGGCTGTTTGAGGCCCTGCTGTGACCACTCGCTGCAGGGTTGTAGGTAAACCTCTGACAAAGTGGACAGGTTGTTTTCTTTTTTTTACTTTTAAGTGATTTATCAGTTACAAAGCAGGCATTGCTAATGTCCACACACAGACGGCGTAAAAGATAGAAGCAGCTTCAAGGTGTGAAAAGATGTGTGTTAAACCTTCTGCAAAGAGAATTTTGGTCCTGATGAATCTGAAACCTTCAGTATTTCTAATAAGTTCAAAAATACTGTCAGAAGTAAAGTTAGGTAACATTTCAGGCAAAATTCCTTGCTGAAGTTTACAGATGCTAATATTTGAAATGGATCTCAAACCACGTAAACCTCACATTTATCTTTCTCTGTTTACACAGGCAGCTCGCTTCTTCAGGAATGACTCATGAAGAGTAGCACGTGAAGATGGGCAGCTGCCATCTTCAGTTCCAACCGCGTGGACCACGAGTTGCAAATAAGGTAATCTCTCCATCGCCATCTTCCGTCACGCGTGACGTGAATGTGTAGGTGGTGTGCAGACTTTCCAGCGAGGCTCAGCCTGCAGTGGCTCTGTCCTTTCCTGTTGTGTCTGCTAGAGTAATGTGAGGCTGTTTGAGGCCCTGCTTTGACCACTCGCTGCAGGGTTATAGGTAAACCTCCAACATTATCTTACTCTGTTTAAATTGAAGCTGAAGGCTTGTTGTAACACTCGAGCGTTGTATTTTAGCTTCTTTACTGAACCACAGCATGTGTCTGCTGTTGATGTCTCAATAGACGCCAAATGGTACGTTCACCTGGACATCTCTTAACTGTAATAAGTGTCATAGCAGCAGTTCTGGACTAACACAAAGGCTCTTTCATTAAATCCAGTCTTCTCACAGAGGCCTCACTCAGCTCCCGTTACCTACCACTAAATCCTGTGTTTACAAAAAGAATTACTTGTTTAACATCAGTAAGATATTTCTGTTAAATGCGCCATGTTTCAGCATTTAGACGTCAGGCGCAAATAAATAAACAAATGTTTAGTGAACTTTCGTGTGTGTACGTTTAGTCCTGCTCAGTCAGGTTGTTGGGTGATGTCTCTCAGTTTGCACATAAACAGTTCTGTAAGTGAAACCTGTGCTTCTCATCTTTTTTAGCATGGCGGTGCTTCCAGAGAAAAGCTCTCCAGTGCAGATGGTTGTTGTTGCTCAAAGCGCCAGAGATTTAAGAGTCTGGCCTCACAGGTGAGAAAATGAATCCATGAATATCTGACATCTTTTTATTTTTTAAAACCCTTTTACTGAACTGTCTTTTTTTTCTTCTTCTTCTTAAATTTGTTCTGCAGATTTCATCCAGAAAGCCGGAGAACCAGTTGATCGAGGAAAATAAATTAATATTTTAAAAAATTGTTGCACTGCTTTAGTAATGTACAGGTTGACTGTCATTTGAAGCACTTGTTGGTTAAGTTGACTTGATTTTGTGGTTAAATGTGGAAAGAATCTGTGACACTAAAGAAACTAGAAAAATGTATTTGCACAGAGATAAATCGATTATAATCTGTTACACATTTAAACACATGAAAGTGTTCAACCAATTGAAATGAATACTAGAGAAACATTAAAATAAAATCATGAAAATGGATCTTGTTTTATTTATTTCATTCCTTCGAGGAGCCGGAGCAGGTGACGGGAAAAATTTAAAACTGCTGGCTAAGGCTAAATGTAAATTCAGTAAAATTGTAATTCACATCGTCAGTAATGACACGTTAGACCTGGAGTGACATGTTTAGCTGCTTGTTCTCTGTAAATTGCTGGCTGTCTGAGTGGTGTCCAAAAAACCGATGTGGGCTTTATAGATAATTGGGAAACTTTCTGGAGGAAACCTGGTCTTGTTAGGAGAAACGGCATCCATCCCACTTTGGATTTTGCTCTGCTCTCATTTCTAGAAATCTGGCCAAATTTATTAACCCTCCAAAACGTGACTATCTAGAGTTGGGACCTGGAAGCAGAGTTGCAGTCTCACACGCCTCTGCAGCTTCTCTGCTCCTGTTAGCCCGCCCAAAACCCCATCCCCTTAGAGCTGGGTGGAGAACTCCAGGCCTGAAGGTCCGGTGTCCTGCAGGTTTTAGATCTCACCCTGGGTCAACACACCTGACTTAAATGGTGAGTTCATTACCAGGCCTCGGGAGCACTTCAAGACAGGTTGAGGAGGTAAGTTAACTATTTAAATGATCTGTGTTGAATTAAGGACACATCTAAAACCTGTAGGACACCTTGAGGCCTGGAGTTCGCCGCTCCTGCTTTGGACAGAAAACCCAAACAGACTAAAAACCAGCAAAAAAAGGATTTAAACACAAAATATTACAGAGACAGAACAATACAGTAACCAAAACTGCACTAAGATGTAAAACAGTGAAATTATTAAACAGAGGTCTCTCTTCTCTGCAGAATTTGTTAAATGCCCATTCATCTGTCTCCTGATTGAATCTGTGATGGGTAACCAGCTTGTCTTCTTCTGGCTGCTCCCTTTAGAGGTGGTCACAGCAGATCATCTGCCTCCATCTCGCCCCGTCCCTAACATCTTTCCTCTGTCACACCAACATGTCCTCCTTCAGTACATCTATTAAATCTTCTCTGTGGTCTTCCCTTTCCTCGCCTGCCTGGCAGTTTCATATTCAGCCTCTTTTGTCCCAATATATGATGAATAAAAATAAGTTTCAGAACATTAATATATTTGATAAAAGAGTTTGTCCTGTCCATAGATAGTAAGATTTATTTTTAATACCCTCCAGCCATAAATGGCTTGTGGGGTATTGTCAACACTGTGCTGGGTGAGGGGACAGTTTGTAAATGCGATAACTGGAGAACGATTGGAGTTGATTTGATACCGTAGGAACATCTATTGAAAATCTTGTAGAGTTCAAATCTCAGTGACCTTGACCTCAGAGGTCAAGTTTTCTGATAAAGTCGTAAATGTGTTAACAAGGTGACAGGATTTTGAAACTGATACCAGAGGTGTATCTAGTAGGATGCTGAGGGGTATGATGGAGTATTAGGGACACATTAAGAAAGCAAATATTGAAAAATTACTATTTCAAGATAAAAAGTTCAAACATGGGGATTACAGTTGTTATTTGAAGACAAACTGTCATGGCTGCTAATGCCCTCTGCAAAATGTTTTGTGTAGATGCTTTATGAAGGGGGATTAGCAGCTGTGGAGGTTTGTCCCAAAACAACTAATTCTGCCTACATGTTTAATTCTGCATTACATCCACGTGAGGGCGCCATTGCACTACATGTAGTCACTAAAGGTTAAAGACCTGTTTGACTTTAAAGGGTGACCGTGATCTAATTGGGTTTCTCTGTTTATTTAACACTAATAAATTGATATGACAAGTTTAATGGCTTTTAACGGCCTTTACACAGCAGTGAGACATTTTTAGTCTGTGAACGAGGCGGAAATGAAGCAACACCTTTTTAAAGTGTAAATGAACCCATTTTAATGTATCCCAAGAGATTTTTATTTAAAACTGGTTTATTTTTAAGCTATAATTTAATTATTGCTGGTAATAAATTATATGTTTTGCATGGTTTTCTGTGTAAAAAGTGTGTGGCGGACGTGACGTGTGAGTTTCGATTTCGCCCTGACTTCCACGGGGCTGTGGAGTAAACAAAGCCGGTGTCATGAAGACAGAGAAGTGAGCAGTAACAGTAAGTTGTGGGTCGTCAGATCCTCGGTGTCTGTCTGTTTCTGGTATCTTTACTGAAACTATGATGGAGTAATCTCGTGAATCAGCAGGAGCAGTGTTCGTAAAAAAAAAGTTTAGAGGGGTTTAAAAAATGAAGTTTTTGCTTTGCAGTGGCTGCACATCATACCTGCACATCTTTTATCCAGTTTTGCGGTCAGTAATGCTAATCTGCACATGTTTTGTGTCTATGACTGACCTCAAAGCGCTACTTTCACTTTCGATTAAACTAACTAAACGCGACATCCCGTGCTGCCTCTCTGGCACCAGAAAGTAGAAAACAAGTGAGTCTCAAGGTGTTTCCAGCTCCTTCCTGGAGATGCATAAGCAGGGGAGGATGGTTAGGCGGTTGGGGGTCCCAGGTGTTTCACCAGGTGACAGGACAGCTGAAAAACATCGGTTTATTTCCTCAGACCTAAAAAACGGAGGAGGGGAGGGGCTGTAGGTGTGGTGTGCCCCTCTCACCAGCCCGGACAGGCCGTCATCATAGTCCAGGACCAGACGGTGAGTCCACCTGGACCTCAGCTGGCCTTAAACAGGGGGTCAGGTGGAGGTGAAGGTGTTTGCTGTGGGTTGGACGTTTCTGTGTGGATAATAATAATTTCAGCCAGTCAGAGTGCATTAATCTGTGATACTTTAGCGCCCTCTGTAGGCATTAGAATGAAATGCAACAACGGTCAAATTGCCTCAGCGCTCCCGTTTTTGTCTTGGACTATGATAGAGTAGCTTTGCATGATTCACAGGTCAAAATAGTCTGTCTTTATCTGATCCTGGGCCCTCATGCAGACCCTCAGTTCATCCTCTGAAACAAGCTGCGCAGTGAATATTGTTTTTACTTCAGTTTTATTTAATTTAGTTTGCAGAGTGGGTTTATTTACCAGCACTAGGTGAGAGGAATAAGGGATTTGATTATATTTTATTACAGTGAATCAGGACACTTTAACGCCCAAGTTGAGGCTATAAAATAATTTTAACATCTTTTTTTTAACAGTTCCTGCTGAGTTTAGCAGACTGATGTGCTGCAGATGATGATCAACAGTATCGTTTAACCGTGAAAATGTCTGAGGTAACTTGAACATTTACTGTTATTTATGTTCTATTAGGTCAGATTTATCCTTTATGTATTTATGCTGTTGGTCCTTCTCTCCCTCTCCCTTGTCCTCAGATGGATTTCCCAGTGGAGGCAACACTACATTTGAAAGAGTTTCAAGATGAGAGAGAAGTGAAGAATATCCTCAGGTCACATGGCTTTGAGATGCATGATCTAGGAGAAGGTCAGGTGCGTGTAAAGGGTCATTTTTCTAAGCTCAAAGAGGTAAAGGCTAAATTAGAACAGCTTCCCTTATCACAAACAAAGATGTCGCCATCCTCATCATCCTCACCAACCCCAGCTGCATCCTCTGGAGCCATTCCCAAAAACTACAGTCACAGAGACAAGCCCCCACACGCTGCTCTATCTTCCCCCACCTCCTCCTCCTCATCATCAGCGCCAGGCCCTTCTCGTAGCCGTCCAGCCTCTCAGGGGTTCGCTGCAGGCTCATCCCCAGACCAGCGTGGCTCCCTCAGGCACGGAGAGGAGACTTTTGTCATTGATGCAGATGTGTTCAAGTATGCTGACCGGTTCAGGAAAAACGAAATGGACGTCATCCTGAACAGCCATGATGTGAAAATGAAAGCACAGGATTGTGGTGATATGGTCAACATCACTTTAACGGGGAGGAACTCAAAGACAGCACTGAGTAAAGTGCAGAGCCTTATGGCTTCTCTTAGCAAAACACTACGCACACAGGAAGTTCCTCTGCAGGACATGAGTGATGATGGCAAAATGCTTTTAGCGAAAATTAAGAAAAAAGGAAACGTCGACGGTTCGGTGCTGGTGTGCGAGATGGGCGACAGGCTTCATCTTATTGGCTCGTCTCGCGAGAGCTTCTTGTTAAAGCAGAGGTTTGTGGATGGGCGTGACCAGCAGGGACGCACGGGGAGAGCCTCAGCTAAAGGCTCCAGAGGAAGGAGCAGCTCCGCTCCACCGACTAATCGCAAGAGCACAGAAACAGCTGCCAACCCTGATACATCGCCCGGTGGAGCCACAGGTTACGCCCCAGCGAAGCACCAAGATGATGAACAGAAAGATGCCACAACTGGGCGGGAAGTTGATGCTTTCCACAGCCGGCCAAGAGCCCGGTCTCTGTCCCGTGAAAATAAAGATGCAAAGAGGGTCAATGGTAACCCGAAAGATAGAGAAAGTAAACCTCCACCTCAGAAGTCATTCAAGTTAAAAAACCTTTTAACATTTAATGATATAAAGAACGCATTTAAAAAGAAAAATAGAAATTTAAAAAAGAAATGAGAGAGAATCTCTCTTGACACAAAACAGAGCACCGCTGCTCTTCTTGTGTGTGAGTATTAAAAAGGGTCTAAATGCATTTTTTTTCTTACTGAGTACCTGTGTGGTGTTACACCACTAATGCTGAAACCAGGGCTCAAGCTTGAAAGGAATATGCGTTTGCCTTTTAAGGAAATGCAGCCTGGATCAGTGGTTAGCTTAGCTTAGCATAACGACTGGAGAATGACAATAAACCTGTTTGTTTGTTTATTTAATCCAGACAAAACACGTGTTTTGGGGGGAGAATATGTCCTAGCCTGGTGCTGTTTCTGCAAAGAGTAATTTGACATTAGAAAAAAACCAAAAGATTTAAAATTAATCTACATATTTTTCAAAATGTCTGATTGTTCTTCTGAAAAGAGACAGAAGGTTATATTTTATTTTTGCAGATGCCACCAGTGTGTCTGACTTGGCTCTGTTAAACTGACAATACTGAAACAGAGCTCATCATTCAAATGTCTAAAAGCATCTGAAACCAGAAGTAATAAAATGTCTGCATAAAGCATGAGACTGTGGACCTCCCCACCACTAAAAAAACACACATCAGTTTCCTGTTTAATAATGACATACAACAACAGAGGAGGTAGAGGTGAGCCCCGCCTTCTTCCCCTTTTCTGAGTCTTCTGGTCAATATGTAGTGGATGGAGCCACCCAGTGATTAGTCATTTTAACGAAACAGCTCCGTCCCACCTTTTTTGTTATTATCTGAGGAGTTTCAAACCTCACTGTTACTTAAAATCAACTAAACGAATAAATAGTGTGTGTAGTGTTGTGAGCAAACTTTCAAAATCCAAAGAAATGTGAATCAATGTTCTGCTTAAACAAGAAAAAAAAAGCTGTTTTCATGTTTAAGGAGCTTAAACCAAAGGACGGTTTCTGTTCAGTTTCTGTTGATGATTGAATTGTTTTATTGCTCCTTTTTTACACTCAGACTTGTTAGATGATGGTGTAATCTGTCAGTCGAAGGTCAGGCCGATGGCCGGGTCAGATCTAATTATCCTCTGGTGACCCTTGAATGAAGTCGGTCATTTATGCTGTTCAGACTTTGGGAGATTTTCCAGAGGTTCATTTGGATAAAGTCCAGACTGCTTGAAGAATGAAGGTTTGTGCCTTAAACCTGTCAGTGCTGGCAGATACACCACTACCAGTACGCCTATCTTTATAATATCAGCTGTGTAGATGTATCAGTTTAGCTCCGTTGTTTACCTTTAACTTTTTTTAATACTTTAAGTGTAAACATTGACTTATTTCCGTTTTGTGGTGCAATATTCTGATTTTGATTCTGACACAAAACTCTTCAAAAGTAGATTTTTTAAAACATTTTAAACACTAAAAATAAGCTTTACATAAAAAGGATTAACATTAGAGAGGCAGGACACTGACATGTGCAGAGGAGGGATAATGGATATACTGGACATGCTTAATATGAAGGGGTAAAAGAGGAAGACCTGGATGTCGTGACGGAGGACATGCAGAGGGTCGGTGTGACAGAGGGGGATGATAAGGACAGGGAGGACAATGAGACTAACTGAAAATACCATGACTCTGTATTTAATAGTTAATGAAACGTTTTTATTGTCAACTCAGTTGACTGACATCTCTTAATCGTTATTTTTGATGGTTGCACCACCATTGTTTAATATTTTCACACATCAGTATTTGCTCTGGATCATAATGGCTCACTGAAATGTAAAGTATGTGAATGTATAAACCAGTGAATAAAAAACAAGCACTGTGCACATTTTAAGGCTACGTGATGTTTATGAAATGTGGTACACCTGTGTTTTTCTTCTGGATCTTTTAGTGACTGTGTGCTCTGTGTTATTACATTTTCCCTGTAACACCGATGGAGTCAGAAAAAGATGAGGGGAAGCCAGAGCAGGAAGTGAAAAAGTCTCTGACGTTGATCTGACCTGAGAGAGGAAGTATTGATGAGGATCTAACAGGCTCACTGTAGTAACTGAAAGACCAGCTGAGTGTTTGAGTGGATTTTGCTGCCATTTTGTGGTAATAAATTTAGGATTGGACACTTAAAGGAGACTAGAGGATGTCAAGAGGTAGATGAATGCCCTGTAGTAGGTAGGCGTTTTGTTTTTTGGTCAAAAAGTCCCTTTACACGTCTATTTTCCAGTAAGTGTATGTATCAAGTGTAAATCATAAAGACCACACACTGATGACTATCATTATGATTCAAAGGCTGGTTTTTTTTAACGTAATAATGAAAACACATTAGTATGGTGGGAAATGTCTCCACGCAGCCTAATGTTGTGGTTTCCCTGTTTTGTTATCGGTCTGTTGCTAGGTTCAGTCACACACTGAACATGAAATCAAATACTGACATATTTTTTATTCATCAAGACAGAAAACTTAAAGATAACCACTTTTACTTCAAGGATTAGAGTAGCCACATTACACCAATCCCATCTCAACCTCGAGTTAGTGCTTTATTGAAGCTTTCAGCTGTTTCACAGACTTCATCAAATGACTTTTGTGGGCATTTTTTATCATAAAGACTCCCCCATTCATGCTGACTTAAAGGTTAAGCAAGTTGGTTCTTAGCATTAAATATGAAAACCACAGACAACAGCTTCAGTGTCTGAAAAGTATAGGAGAACGTGAAAAGTGCATTCTTTTTATTGAGCACCAGGGGGCGACAATTCTAGATGCAAAAAGATTTCCACTTGCATAGTCTATGGGAAAACGACCCTCAACTTCCTTAATCTGTGACCACAGTACACTTTTTTTGATGAATTTTCTGCTGAATTAATTAGGGAAATTAAGTGAATTATGGTCACTAGTGCTTAAAGAGCTACAGTGTTTTTGGCCTGTTTGTGATGCTGGAAAGCTTACATACAAAGTCACAGGGGCTGTAGATGTTGTTAAAATGCTAAAAAAAAAAAAATAGTCAGTGCTAGTGTTTTGCTAGGTGGTTGCTATACAGTTATGATTAAACTTTTGTGGATATAAATTACATAGTTATTGTTGAGCTACTGACAAGAAATTAAAATAGAAAAAAACCCAGGTATTTTTTAGCCTGTTGCTAGGTGGTTGCCAGGAAGTGTAATGGTGTCATAATATACAATGCATAATTCAGCACTTGTGGATATAAATTAGGTGTTACTGTCATCAAATAAAAATGATATAATGTATTTTTTTT